GGCAACTAAAATGATCAGGGGTTTGGAACAGGTCCCATATGAAGAGAGGCTAAAGAGACTGGGACTTTTCAGCTTAGAGAAGAGGAGATGGAGGGGGGATATGATAGAGGTCTATAAAAGCAAGAGTGGTGTGGAGAGGGTGCATAAAGAAAAGTTCTCCGTTTGTTCCCATAATAGAAGGACTAGAGGACTCCAAAGGAAAGGAATGGGTAGCAGGCTTCAAACTAGTAACAGAAATGATTTTCATGCAAACCTGCTCCTGGATGGCGAGGCTGGCAGCTCTCCTGCCCTAGACGGCCACTTTCCTGTGCCTAGTGCGGAGTTCGTGGACGAGGTCCACGATGTCTGCAGTAGACCAGGCGGGTGCCCGTCTCTTGCGGTCCTGGCCAGGCTCCCGAAAGCCGCCAGCGTGGTCCCGGAAAGAGGCAGAGGGCTGGGTGGCAGCGGGCGGCTGGCTCGTGCCGTGCCAGGTGCAGGGTCTGCTAGCTGAGTGCTGGCAAGCTTGCACCTGGCACGGGCACCATAGCCAGACCGTGCCCCTTTAAGGGCTCCGGGGCTGGGAGGGGGGCAGATGAATTTCCCTGGTTGTGCCCAGAGTGGCCACCAGGGCAAGCTGGGAAGGGCTAGCCTCTCACTAGTTCAAATTAAGTGGCTACACAGCCCTTAATTTGAACTAGGCGTTAGTCCTCGTAGAATGAGGTTTACCTAGTTCAAATTAAGTGCTCCGCTAGTTCGAATTAAGTTCGAACTAGCAGTTTACCTGTGTAGCGCCTATGAAAGTTAATTCGAACTAACGGCTGTTAGTTCGAATTAAATTTGTAGTGTAGACATACCCTCTGAGAGCTAGATAAAAACCATGTGGTCAGGTGTAATGTTTCTGGTTGGGGATGAAGAAGCTTGCCTGAATTCTGAAATAAGAGATCTCATCAATTCAGAAGGGGGTAAGGAGGTCGACAAGACATTTGATAAAGATAGGGAAACCAAATCTGTCTGGCCCAGGCAGAGACTATAAGAATGACCCAAGTACCCTCCTGCTCGATCTTCCTGAGTACTCTGGGTATGAGAGGAATAGGATGGAACGCTTAGGAGAGGCAAGCCTACCATGATATGTGGAAGATGTCCCCAAGGGATCCCGGGCCCAAGCAATATTTGGGTTCCTTGGAATTCTGGTATGTCGCAAAAAAAACTACAGTTAGGTATCCCCACAGGTGAAACAGCAAATGCAGGATATCTATGTGAAGTTCCCATTCATGGTCTGTAATGAAGTGACAACAATCCGCAGTTGCATTTTGATCCCTGGGAGGTACGATGCAATGAGGGTGATGTTGTTGCAAATGCACCAATTCCACAGGCAAACTGCCTCCGCACAAAGCGATGGGAAGCAAGCACCTCCTTGTCGGTTGATGTAAAACATGGTGGTGGTATTGTCCGTTAGAATGTGCATACTGCAGCTGCGGATGTCTTGGACGAAGCACTTGCAAGCACTGCCCACAGGGCGCAGCTCCAAGAGATTGATATGCCAGAGGGATTGGTGAGCTGACCCTCTGCCCTGAGCAAAGCACCCCTGCATGTGTGCACCCCACCTGAGGAGGGAAGAGTCTGTAGTGATGTACACAGAAAGCTATGGCTAGTGAAAACGAACCCCCAGCAGGAGGTTTCCTGGACTGGTCCACCACTTTAGGGACTTGTGAAAATTGGCAGGAACAGATACCTGCTTGTGCAGCTGGTGTTTGGCTGGGATATAGACTAAAGAGAGCCAATGCTGAAGGCAGCAAAAGTGCAGGCGTGCATACTGGACCACTAAAGTCGTGGCAGCCATTAGAGATATGAAGGACTAGTCGACTATCTGATAAGCAAATGCTTACAAGATAGTTGACAGGATAGTCGACTAGTCGCTTCCCTCCTCCCTTGGTGCTTAGTTGACTAGTTGCTCCCCCATTTTGCTGCCTCTATCAGAAAGAGACAGCAAGGGGTGTGGGAAAGGAGGGGGTACTTCAAAGCAGCAGCACCACTTGAAGCCTGGGGCCAGATCCCAGGCTCCACACAGCACTGCTGCTTTGAAAAGCCGTGGGGAGCCCGGTGTCAGGCTCCTCGTGGCATTTAAAAGTGGCAGTGCTGCGTGGAGCCCGGGATCAGCGAGGGAAAACCCAGGTGATGCTGGGCTCCGTGCA